TCCTCCATCTTTTTGGCAAACTCGGCATCGAGGCGGTCAAGCTTCGCCGAGAATTCCTCCAGAGTGGTGGCCATCTTGGTTTGGTTAGTTAGCTTTAAGAGATTTCTTTTCGCTTTTCTTACAGATAGATTCAAATTAAGAGAGAAAGGTAAAGAGAAGAAAAAAAAAAAAAGAAATTTATTACGGGGTGACCACAGGAGCGGAGCGTCATTCCCACAGTTTTTTCGATACGTGGTGGAAATATACCGTAGAATGAAGTTCAATAACTGGACAGTGATATTCCGATTAAACAGATGGCAGTAGATAGTTACCGAAAGGATCTACAAATCCTGCTATCTTTCCATTTGTGATCTCCATCATTCGCGACATTGCCTGCAGTACTTCGTGTTTCTTCGCCAACACAAAGTTATCGCCGGCCAGTTGCAAGTGTGGCCGCGGGGGATGCACAAACAGGGCGTACTGCTGTTGTGATTGTCCATCTAAAGATTCAAGATGGAGATTGAGGGTGTGGCCGTCGGCTGCACGTTCTAGTAAACTCTCTCCTGTAGATGCAGAGACGCGAATGATCGCCTCACTGTCGCTGATGCGGCGCAGCGAAAGAAGTTCACCGCCTAGAGTCGCACGGCGAACACTTCGGGCAACATCATCAAAGAGTTGAACAGCAGAGAGCTGTTGGTGTTGTTGTTGTTGAGAGGAGCTCGTTCCGCTCACTGTAATGTCAACACTGCTCTTCACATCTTCTCCATCCCTGTTGGGTCTCACATCCTCACATCCCACAATGGCAGTCAAAAATGAACCGTACACCTCGCACGGTATCCCAACAAGGCGAAGCTCCACCTCGTGTGCAGAAAGACTCTCCTTGTCACTAGCACTAACCTCATCCTTCTCATCACGGGGCCGTTTAACAGCAGTTGTTGTTGATGTTGTTGTTGTTGTTGTTGTTGTTTGATGTAAACCACAGCGGAGTATCTCATACGCTCTGCGTCCCTTCTCTGCAGCTTCGCGTTCTGCTGGTGCGGTGCCGACGGCCTTCATCATCACACGCACACCGTCGACATAAAAGTCCACACGCCGTGCTGCGTCTGCCGCCCGCTTCGTTTCGTAGTCCACAAGTGCGGCACCGGAGGAAGACATACTTCTTGTTTGCTCTTCTTGTGGTTGTGGACTGTTGTTGTTCTTATTGTTATTATTGTTTGTGTTCTTATGGTTTTTCTCATTCTGTGTGATGGGCCGCATGATAAGAAGAGCATTTACGACAGACTCCCCGCCAACGTGGGCGCGCACATAATCGTAGAACTCCTCTTCCCCCACGTATGTGGGAATATTCGTGATGAGCACACGGTATGGCATGGGAGGAAGTTCCGCACTCTGTGGGGAGTGAGAGTAAACAAGAAAGAATACACAACAAGAAGAAAAGGGAGAAAAGAGAGAGAGAGAGAGAGAGAAGAGAGACGTTAACAGTAGACAGTAAAATAAGAAGAACAAGAAGAGAACGAAGGAAAAGAACCAAAAAAAAAAAAAAATAGAAAAAGAAAGAAAGGGAGAAAAAAATACAGAAATTACTGTATGAGTGAGTGAGTGAGTATGTGAGGAGGGAATTACAGATAACTGCACACACAATCATCTCCTTCTCCCCTCATCATTCTCTTCACTTCTGTCGCACCCGCTGCGCCTCTGCTAAGATGTGTGTGTGTGTGTGTGTGTGTGTGTGTGATCAAATCAAAATGGTAAAAAAAAAAAAAACGAAATTTGCGCACACGGCATGGACCACCATCATGAGAAAATATCATTGAAACAAACAAAAAAAAAAAAAACGAGTGAGAAAGAGTGAGTGAAAGCGACTGAGATAAAAACTAAGAAGAATGCAAATAAAACAAAATAAAAAAACATCGGGCCTTTCTTGCTGTTATTTATTCTTTCGCTGAATAGGCATGATAAGCTAAAGCGTGAATAAACGTTCTTCTTCGTTTTTTTTTTGTTTCTTTTTTTTTTATGTGAGTGTATATGTGGGGAGAGCGCATTCTGTTTTTGTTTTTTTTTTTTGTTATTATGAACAGAAGAATATGTTTTCCTTTAATTATTATTTCCATCCTTTGTTTTCTCTTTCCATCTATTCTCCGACACTTTGCCTCCCTTTCAGCTGCATTGCCCAAGACCTTACTCATACTAGTACTACTACTGCTGCTGCTGCTCTGGTTACTGTGGTTGTTGCTAATATTATTATTAATTATTACTATTATTATTAATACTTGTTGTTATTGTTGTTTTAACGCATCGCATTTGACTGTTTGATGTATTTGCCTTTTTTTTCCCCCAAACATCTCCATTCATTACTGATGAGAGGAACGGGGAGAGGTAGTAGTGTGCTGGCTTCACGAAGTTAACAATACATCCACAAGCAAATTAAACAAACAAACAAACAAACAACGCAGAAAGCCCAAGCAACAAGGCTATCACCACGATAACAACAACAACAACAATAATAAGAATAATAATAATAATAATAATAATAACACCTACACGCATACACACCACTTTAACGGAAGTAATAAGTAGCTGTAGAAGCAAAGAGAAACTCAGACAAATAAGCATCAACAGATATCTCCACCCCGCTACACATTCCTTCTCTTTTCTACATTCTCTCTCTGTTTCTTTTCTCATTCCCATCGCCTGTTCATACTCAACCCTATTAATCTTCTGTTTCTTCCATTTCACAAGAACCGCATTTATTCCTCAAATGACCCCCCGGGCTTTCACTTCAATCAATCAATCAAAAACAAACAAACAAACAAACATATCGATCAATCATCCAGACAGAGATACATATAAACAAACACACACATATATATTCTCCTACCTCTCTGTTTCTCTTTCACGCCCCCTCGTTTTCAGTATTTAACTTTCTTGCACTATTTTTTTTTTTTTTTTTCTTCTTCATTTCTTTCATCGCTTTCAACCTCATTCTTCGGTTTTAACATTTTTGGCCCCTTTTCTTTTCTAACGCTTGTCACACCCCCTCTACACCCTTCATATCTGTCGGAATCCCCAAATATAAACAAACACACACACAGGCATAGAGACGCAGATTCTCTCTCTCTCTCCCTATCTCTCATACACACAAACACACATATATAATCTTTGCCCACACTTTTAGACTAATTCACAGGGGAAAAAAAGTAAAGAAAAGAAAGAGTTTTTTTTTCTTTTTTTTTTTTTTTTTTTTTGAAAGCCCATAAGGTAAATAAAGCATCTTATACGCTTCATTTCTTTTTCTCCTCTCTATTCCACTCTATTCCATTCTTTACCCTAACTACACGGGATCGCCTCCAACATGTGGTATTTCCCTCCTTTTCCCATCTAATCCTTTCTCTTTTTTTTTTCCTTTTCCCCCTTTTTTTCCCCCACATTTCATCTCTCTTTCTTTCCTTTTGTTCCTTCTTCCACCCATTTCACCCTATTTTTTCACGCAGTGGCCTTGTTGTCCAAGCGGACATTCATCGCCCTGTTAGCCATCTCAATTCCGTCAAATTCGGCTATGGCAACACGCGACTCCTCCTCAGTCTTCATCACAACAATGCCCATACCTCTGCTCTTTCCATTACGGCCCAAAATAATCTCCGCCCGCTCCACATTTCCTACTTGCTGGAATGTCTCCCGAAGTGCACTGCTGGTACAGTCAAAGGGTAAATTCGAAACAAATAATTTGCGACCAATCTCATTCACCTGTTGACTGCGCGGCTTAGGAACCACCTCATTCATGTCATTCAAGGCAGCCGCACTACCATCATCCATCATCCCATAACCACCACGGGGAGCATATCCAGTGCCACGACCGAAGTTCTTCGCACCATCATAGTTCGGAGCGTTATTAGGCGCTCCTGTGTACCCACGATAACGTTGTGCTTGCTGATGCTGATGCTGCTGTTGTTGTTGCTGATGCTGAGCTTGACGATCATACTGCGGCATCATATCTCGCTGCACAAGTGGTGGACGCGGGCCATCATCAAAGAGACGCACAATAAGGCGCCGACCCTCAAAGTCGGTCTCATTGTACATGTGAATGGCACACTGCGCTGCCTCTGGGGTGGCCATTGTGACTAGCGCAGAACCCTTTGGCCTTCCCATGCGGTCGGCGATGAGATCTGTGTAACGAACCTTTCCAGCATTCCTGAAATGGTCCTTCACATGCTGCCACGGCGTCTGAAAGGGCAAGTTTCCAACAAAGAGTACATTTCCGTGATTTTGGCGACGTTCCATGTCACCGCCCTCTTGAGGGCCACCTGACGCAGAGGAATGCTCTTCAAACATTTCTTTGTTCACTGTTTAGCTCTAAAGCAAAGAAAGAAATAAACAAGTCAAAAAAAAAACACGAAATATTCGTTTTTTATTTTTTTTTTTTTCTGTCTCCTCTAAGTTTGATGTCTTCTTTGTTTCGCTTTCTTATGTATAGTTGCTTATTTTTCCTTTCACTTCTGTCCCCTAGTAGGAATAATAAAGCAAACCGCAGTGTATTCTTTTTTTTTTTTTTTTGATGTTCTTTCTTTCTGTATATATATATATATAAATAAATAAATATATATATATATAAAACCTTATTAACCTTAAAGACAAACCAACTTGTCTATTTTTCCCTTCTTTTCCACGCAAAAAAAAAGACACACACACACACAACAACAACAACAACCTGTAGAGAAAAATAGCGTTGATGTTGTTTGTCACAATGACGAAGAAAAGAGAGAAAAAAGAAAAGAGAAAAACACACGTTCCAGTGCACGAATAAAAAAATAAAATTGTCTAAGCGGTTTTCTTCATAAAATAATTCTTTTTGCATTGCAGATAGAAAAAAAAAAAAAACTGAGAAAAGGAAAAAAAAGGTAACAAAAAAAAGGCAGGGAAAGAGGATATTTTGTGCATGTGCCTGGTGCTCCGACCCCTGCATCGCTTGGACCACCCTTGCGAGTGAGTACGTGTAATGTATGCATATGACTACCCCTCACTCCTTTTTTTTTTCCTTCTTTCCCATTCTCCATTTCCCCTCCCAATAGAAAATGGGAAAAGATGGAGAAAGAGTGAGAAAACAAAAAGGTTTCTGTATGCCTTCTCTCCCCACACGATACTCCGGGTGTCTTCTTTCTCGCCGATGCTCATGAAACTGTTGGAGTTTATAATACATATATATATAAATATATATATATTAGTTGGGCACCTTCAGTTTACCCTCGCTGACCTTAGCCTGAATATCACGTGGGTGCTCGCCATCAATGGTGCAGCCGATGGAGACTGCAGTTCCGAGGACTTCCATCACGACGGCCTTCATGCTGGCGGCCATGGAGTTGGCGGACGCCTCCTTCGCAATCTTGAGCACCTCCGAGAAGGCGATGTTGCCGCTGTGCTTGATGTTCTTCACCTTCTTGCGGTCACGTGGTGGCTCCTTCAGCGCGCGGATGAGGCGCGAGGCGACGGACGGCGTCACGCAGACGGTGGCCACGCGGTTCTTCACGCGCAGCTGGCACGTCACCTTCAGGCCCTTCCAGTCCTTCGTGGACTTGGCGATGTCGTCGCCGATCTTCTTCGCGTTGAGACCGAGCGGGCCGACCTTTGGGGCGAGTGCTGCCGCCGCGGGCACCTCTCCACCGACGGCACGCACAACGATGGTGATCTCCTGGTTGGGGTCGAACTTGGGTGGCATCGCTTTACAAAGGTTCCTGTGGGGCTTTCCCTCCTCACAGCATTAGCAGAAACAAAAAGAAAGAAAGAAAGAGAAAGAAAGCATGAGAGAGAAGGCATATATATATATATATATATATATATATATATATATATGGTGATTGTGTGTCTGGGTGTCAGAGTACACTCTCCTGGTGTAGAGGGAAGGAGGGAGGGTGGGAATTGGAACATATGGGCGAATCAAACATAAATTGCAATGATGCTTGAAGCCATAGAGAAGGTGGATCAACAATACGCGAAAGGCGTTAATTCCAAAAAAAAAAAAAAACACAGACACACACAAAAAAAAGGAGAAGAATCCGAATGGACCAGCGTTAATAAAATAAAATAATAATAATAAAAAAACATTTGACTCATATATCAACAAACTAATTAACCAAAGAACCAATCAGGAGATCTTAATCACACATGTATTCAAAGGGACTTGATCCTCTACCATGATTATCTGCAGAATCTCTTCAAGTTTCTTAAACAAAAAAGGTAGTGACCATGTAAAGGCATTCATAAAGTCAGGCAATACATAGGGATGAGTTACAGCACTGAACTGTCTCACACGCAACACCTTTTTATTAATTTGCAAAATAGATCCCCTGTTATCATAGGTACCACAATAGTTTGGTGCTGAAAAAATAGAAATAACAGAAGGAAATTCTGTTTCTTCAACCTTTCGAAACATACGAAATCCCTCAAATTGTGCCTTATGAGCACGTATCACACCAATCAAATTGTTTACAGCCAAAAATCGCTCCACTGCAATACTGGAGAATACAAAAGAGCAACCACGAATTTTATTATCCAGAAATAATACATCAGGAAACATTTCTTCTTCTTCTTCTTCCATAGGGTCAGACCAGAGAAGATCACACATGGGTCCAGATTTGGGTGGTTCCCGTACGCGATCAATATCGTTTATATCATCCACAGTTTTTATATCTGGTGATATTCCACCATGAACACACAAAAATACTGATGAAACCACAGCAGCTAGTGGAAGACGATCAAATGCTGTCTGAAATGCATTATAGACTGTTTCTCCATACTTGTGTACACACTCATCATGGAAGGTAAAATTATAAGAAAGGGAATGACACTCATGATTACCACGTAACATCCAAAACGTTTTTGGATATCGAATTTTGAAAGCGAAAAGAAGAAGCGTTACCTCACAAGAGAAAAGACCACGATCTACATAATCACCAAGAAATAGATACTGAGTCATACTAGGGTCTCCACCCATACACAGTAACGTCAAAAGATCGTAATATTGTCCATGAATATCACCACTAATAGTAATAGGATCCTGTAGATGCAGCACGTTAGGTTCATCAGCGAACAACAATGCAGCATCATTAATAAGCAATAGTGCAGCTTTTTCTGTTATTAATCCACCTAATTCCAGATGTTTCTGCAATAGTGATGTGTCAGGTATACGTTTCCCATTGCAAGCAAGTTCTTTCGGAAACAATTGATCTTCCTCCAGTGGAAACATTTGGGGTGGCACGACAGAAGTCAACTCTGGCTGACATTTCATATTTACTATTAGTACTCGTTATGATTTTATTGTTGCCACTACGATAGTGAAATAATAATGGTCAAGGTTAAGAGAAGAAATAGGAAATAGGAAATGGGAAATAAAAAATAAAAAAATAAGAAAAGATCCTTGCACCATTCCTGAATGATCATACCCCTGTATAGTAACGGAAAAGAAAAACCACGAGGGTAAAGAAAGAAACAAAGAAAGAAAGAGAAAATACCTACCCAGATATCTCAGATGTGGTCTTGGGTCAGACGTCTTTCTTTCTTTTTTTTTTTTTTTTTCATTCTCCTCTCCAATAATCCTCCATTTATAGTACTGTTTTCGGTTGCCTTGATCACACACCTTTCCACACCTCTTCTGTTCTTTTTTCTTGGTTGTTTTTCGCCTTTTCCTTTTCTCGTTTCGAAATATATATATATATATATATATATATATATACTCGTGATCTCCTCCTATTATTATGCGTCCTCTGGCAAACGTTCCCGGATGATTTCATCCTCACCTACTGTATAGTAATGTGATGTCTGCTCCCACACATCATTTTCAGCGTAGTAGAGAGAGTCATGCCGAGTCTCTGTTGTGCGGTTGACGGTATAGCATTTCTTTGGGAGTGGGGCATATGTGTAGGGAATACGATCCGGGTATGGCCACACACACGGTTGTAAGTACTCACGTCGACACACAGCGCGGCTACTCGCCTCCATAAAACTCCCATCTGTCGCTTTTGATTCCTCTTCTTCTTTTTCTTTTTCTTCTTTTTCCTTTTGGTCCTTCCAATGTGGATAGCATGCATTTAAAGAACAGAGAGTGAGTTCACTATTTTGTTTCTTCTTGACGAGTATATATGTGTAATGACTAAGAGAAGTACAATCTTTTTTTTGTTCTTGCTTTTTTTGCTGCTGTTGAATAAGAGAAGATACTACATTCTTCAAGATATCTCGAAGACAAATCCATGTACGCTGCACCTCCAAATCATGAGACCATGATCCCATAACTTGAGTTGTAAAAGAAATGAGTGAAAACTGTTCAATACCAATCACAGCACTTGTGTAGGCGTTGATGCGGTAGACGTACAATACAGCAGTGGGATTGCAATGAAGAAGCACTAACATATTTACTACTTCCCGCTTGCTAAACCTCTCATATTGAAATATCTTAACATCATCCGGTATACTATTATAACCTTTACAATTGTACTCCATTTTTATCATTCGAAAAACCGGATGTTTTCCACTAATATCATAGGTACAGTTCGACACACATTGAAAGGCCATATCTTTACCTAATGATACCTCTGTATAGCACTTACTTTCACCACATTCCTTCTCATTACAACGACCATTTGACGGAAGGCGTACATCATCATCCACCAAACGCTTAAAAGCCGCTGCGTTTATATTCCGCCGAGATTCTTGTTCTCCTGGAAGTGGTTTTTCAACACAAATATCTAGTTTACGTTCAACTGGGTTCCACACGCAGCGAAAAGGAATACGAAAACTCGCCCGGTACGATGAGACATGAGCTGTAGCTAACTCCAATAGTGCTGACTTGCAAAGACGAAGAGTGAAAGACACACCACCCATTGCTGGGTCACTAGGGACTACAGGTGGAAACACCTTCTCAACTTTCTCATTATTGTCAACGCAGGTAACAGGATATAGTTTCGGTGCACGTTCATCAAGCTGCTGTACTGTCAGTGGAAATGATGGTGGAATAGAAATAGCTGGAAACACTCGTGGTTTTCCATGTGACTCACGCAGTGCAACAGTTTCATCGATACGACGGTTAGCCAACTGGTGAGTTCGCGTGGAAAGTTTTGCTACCGGTTTGACCCCTGTCGAAGAATTATTATTATTATTATTATTATTATTATTATTATTATTATTATTATTAATAGTAGTAGTTGTTGTCGTTGTCGTTGTAGTGGTACTCTTTCTAAGATCCAAAATAACTTCATGAAGATTGTCAGTATCATCACTTCCTTCCACGTTATGAAATAATGGTTTCACCCTTGACTGCAGTCGATAACACCACCAGCGCTTTGCAAAATTTTCCACATGTTCATTTATGTAGTTATGATTCCAACATGCCCGATGTGTCACTAAAGTCTCATCTGAATCAATAGACCGTTTCCTCTGACCCGCCTCAATATTACATGCCTCACATGAGATAGTTTCATCCATAAATTTGTGCAAATACGCTGTCTGTTCACGTTGTACAAGATCAAGTACAGTATTCATATCAGGATACTCATCTGTAGGCTTTGGTAAAATACCTGTTTGCATATATTTAAGCATCCATGGACGGTAATGTCTGTGTTGACCTCGTGTCAAGCATGATACACACATGGAAAGTCTCTTTGATGAATTTGACTTGAGAATAGCAGATGCAGCGTTATAATCCACTCGTCTACGTGTATCATCTTCTCGAGCGTCTTCCTCACCAAATATCTCATTTAAGGACACGTCGTTAACCGCAGCGAGTTGCTCGTGTATAGACGCATATTTCGGATTTTGCCGTAGTGCTGAGAGAAAAGCATCCGCCTCCTCTCTTGGGAACTCTAACGTGGGTGAGGCATCGAGTAATAGTGCCTTGCCCAAGATCCCAGCACTTCTCTTCCCACGTTGGGTCTCCGCAATGAGATTCTCTGACTCGCTGGGGAAGCCGTTGGGTGGGGGCCGCACAGGCAGACGAAACACCGGGGGTGGAACAAAACCCGAATTAGGGTCTTCTTCCACACACTGCTGCTTTAGTGCGGGTGATGTCATTGCCTTCCTAGTATATATATATATATATATTTCACAGTAGAGTAAAAATAAATAAGAAGAAAAAAAGAAAAAATCAAACAGCAAACAAATTTCAGAACATATGACAGCATTGCTAAAGACTCTTCGCATTCAAAAAAAAAGGAAAAAAAAAAAACAATAATTCTTCTTCCTCTTCCATACAAGACACACACATAACGCACATGTTTTTTTTTCTTTTTTTCTTTGTGTCTTCATTTTTGTTTTTTTGCTTTTTCATTTCACTTCACATCGCGTCACATCGCTAAATACCCATTCTCCCGAAATACCATCGAGTTTTCTCATTTTCATCAGAGTCGCATCACATGACTTTAACGGTCATAATTCTCTTAACCTGATTTTGTTGTCGTTGTTGCTGCATCGCCCCCTCAACATTGTCCCCCTTATTTTCTTTTGACCTATTCTTTTGCATCTCAATCTGAGCCTCTGCCCATGTACAGAACTCTTGTGCTGCTCTCATGTCCATAGCGTGTTTAGAGAGACAATTAACACCACTGTTTGCCCCGTACTCCCCACTACAGAGATAATAACCACCGTGTACCATTTTCTCTGGTTCAACACATGCCTTTAATACTGCTTGCGCTGACTCTGACCATGTCTTACCTATCAATAGCGAAGGATAATAAATGAAATGATCTAGTAAAGTCACAGGAAATAAATCACGATACAGGTGCGTTGTAATAACGCCTGGATGACAGCAAGCAACAAATATCTTAAGTTGACGTTTATCACCACTTTGAAAAAATCGCATAGCCACACGGCGTGCGAGAATAGACGTCCACCATACTACACAAAGCTTTGAAAGTCCGTAGTATCCAACAAAATTTAAAAAAGTAAAGTCCTCCATTGGAGCAGTAGTTTCCTTTTCACCTTTTACTGCTTTTTCTTTTTCTTTTGGTTCTTCGTCTTCCTCCTTTTTTCCATCTTCTACTCCTTCTGTTGGTGTGGGATGAAGTGCCTTGAGCATCTCCATGGGACTAAGCCGTTGCCGCACGCCAAGAAAAGTGTGACAACTAGAAGCGACATTCACAATACGTGAGGTGACACCAGTGCGTTCAGCCGTCTCATCTAGCAGCGGCAAGAGCAACTGAGTGAGCAGCATAGGGCCCACTACATTTGTGGCGATCATTTCCTCCAGTCCAGAGTCCTCGCAGCGGTGGAGGTGGCGGCGCAGCACACCTGCCGCATTCACGAGGAGAGCAAGTGGAAACTGTTCTTTCTGCTCGAGCACCGTCGCCGCGTACTTCCGCACGCTGTCGAGATTGGAGAGATCAACGGTTTCGAGAATGACGAGACGCCCACGTGGGGACTCCGCAGCGATGCGACGCCGCGCCTCGAGCAGCCGCCCAACATCGCGGCCCGCCATCACGACCGTCCAGCCGCGGCGCGCGAGTTCCCGCGTGGTGGCGAAGCCGACGCCGCTGGAGGCGCCCGTGACGAGTGCGACGCGGCCGCTGAAGTCGACGCCGGCGGGCCACGCGCAGCGACGACCGGCCGCGACGGCCCGGCAGGCGACGGCGGCGCTGACGGCCGCGAGAATTGTGTCGGCGGTTGTGCCGATCGTCGGCCCCCACACGGCGAGGGCGGCGAAGAACAGGCAGAGCAGCGCGGCGAGTGCCTCCGACGAGAGAAGATGGATCATCGCACCTTGGGAAGTGAAGAGGAGAGAAGGGGAGGAAAGAGGCCTGACACCCCAACAAGAAGGGAGAAGAGAGAAAGAAAAGGGGAAAGAGAGAGAGAGAGAGAGAGAGCGGTAGAAAGGAAGGAAGTAGATGTTTAAAAGAGCATGTCCGAAAAGATGGGAAAGAGGAAAAGAAATGGGAATAATATCGCAAAAAAATGAAAGAATAGCAAAAAAAAAAAAAAATAATAATAATAATAATAATAATAATAATAATTTCTTTTTGTTATTCGTAGCTATATACCCCTACTGTAGCTAAAGTATTCCATCGTAAAGAATGTAACTACAATGGACTTTTTCTCTCTTCCCGCCATTTCTGTGATTCCATTACGTGAGGGTGTCCTCCTGCTTCACGCCTCATCTGTGCGTAATCACCCTCATCCCACACCTCATCACCCTCTGCATATGTTAATGGTATTGTGGTGTCAACAAGACGGTCAATGTAATGATCCGCTGTATAGTTTACAGAGTATCGCTCTGCTGTTATCTGTGAAATTCTGGATATATCTTCCTCCGTTTCGTCCGTCTCTTCATTATCATTCTTATTATCCTCCATATCCTCTTTTCCTCCTCTTGACTCCTGTGTTACTAACTGCATATCAGGTTCTAAAAGGTCGCTGAGTACATCAGCAGTAAGAGAATCATTTGAACTTGAAATGTTCTTTACGTCATTCTGTTCCTCTCTTTTTTCTTTTTCTATTTCTTTCTTCTCTCCCTCTTCTTCCTGCTGCATGGTAGGAGAACCCATTACCAAAATTTCGCCATGGTGTACAAAAGGATCGCCTTCAGCTCCCGTTACTGGTAATTCAACTAGTGGATCACCCTCAAGCACCACACGAATAGGGTTAATGGCATGAATATAACGCTCAAGAGTTCGTTGTACCGCCTTTGGAGAACCAAAACTTACGCAGTTCTTAACATCAAATCCACGTACATGTAGTAACAACGCCAAACAAAAACCTACAGCACCGCCAACCCCGTGACCCACAACAACAGTGGAACGGTAGGCATGTAAAGGGGTTTCAGCTAATAGAGCATCCGCTAACCGCTGGGCCACACTAAGATACTCTGCATGGAATATAGTACCTCGCACTTCTTCTGCTTCCGTTATCTCTAAACGTTCCACTTCATGTTCCCAGTCGTATGGTTCACATCGCAGATAAACAATCTGCTTATTATACGTCTCATCTACTTCCAGTACCATATCTTCCTTTCCATGAGAAACATGATGAGCTGTGACACCACTACGTGTACCAATAATACTTTCAGTAACTTGCCATGATGTAAGTGTATTTTGTTGTTTCTGTTCTATTTTATCACTTCCATCCTTTCTCTCTAGACGATGGAGAAAGGCTAATCGCTCACCATATGGAATAAGTGCATGTTGCATAATACGATTTTGACGTTCTGCAACGGCTTCCTCATCTACTTCATTACGTTCTGCCTTCTTGTTCTCAAACTGAGAATATTGAAAATAGTTTCCTTCAATAGTTTGCTGATAATGTATATTACCAACACCTGCAGAAAGAACCTGAAGCATAGAGGTAAGAGCACGATTACCTGGTGCAAGAAGAAGCTGTTCCGTCATGTTGTGTACTTTCTGTAATTCTTTTGAAATATATCGTTCATACTGAATTTCCAGAGACTTTTGCTTTTGCTGTTGCTGTTGTCGTCCTCTCCTACTGCGGGGTGTGAGTTTCTGTTCATACAACTTGAGATATCGTCTACGATTATGTTCAGCGGCATCAAAGAAGCGAGCAGCCACGTACCGTGTTAGACCCTCCGTTTGGTGTAGTGGGCAGTCGCGAGCAACTTGATGCACAACACCGAGAAGACGGCGGTAGGCAGCGCAGGTGTCTCTGCGAACTGCTCGCGAGACACTCATCCCAAAGTACACCCCACCTATAGAAAAAAAAACAAAAAAAGAAAGAAAGAAAAAATAATAATAAAAGAAAGAGGATATGAGATTATTAAAGATGTTTCCTCTCCAGAAGGTTTTAGATCCCAGTTCTCCCTAAGAACAACTAGAGAAACGTGAATAACTACACAATATATATATATATATAGGGAAATCCTCCGTGAGAGTAAAAGAAACAGTAGATATCTCGATCTGTTAAACTGTGCTCATCTCATGTAATTACACAGACGCAGAGAGAAAGTGATAAAATGTTTGAGAGAGAGAGAGAGAGAGGGAGAGAAAAAGAGGCATAAGTATCCACAGCTCAGTGTTATGTTCAATAATACCACAACACCAACTGCCAGCATCCACAAGAGCATCGCACATCTTTACGCCTCAACCCTTCCCTATAAAAAAAAAAAAAAATAAAATAAATAAATACTAATAATAATAAAAATATCCCTGTTCCTCCCTCTTCAGCTTGTTCCCTTACTTGTCATTCCATTTTTTTCATACCCTGTCTCTTTTTTTTTTTTTTCTTTCTTTCTTCTTTCTTTCTTTCTTTTGTGTCACTCTTTCTCTGCCGTCAGTCCGACCAAACGTTTACCCCATGAAATGATGCGTTCGGCTTCCTCTAAATCCCAACCATACTGTAATAGTGACTCAAGTGTTTGGTTACCGCATTCCACAAAGTAAGGACTAACAAATTCAGTTTGCTTTACACTCGCTGGAGGGTTTACAGGCTTCAACTCATCTACATTACACATCGCACAGTGCAGCGTTGTTTGTGCCCCTTCTTCCCAAGACTTCAAAAATAGTAAACAGGCATACTGATAGAGACGATTGATAAACTCAGTAGGCATGAGATCTTTTGAGAAATTAGTACCAACACATCCAGGATGAAGAGAACAAACAGGCACCTTATAGTGATGTGCAATGTAATGTGCATGATAAATATTAAGTAATTTACTTGTACCATACCTAACAAAAGCGTAACCAAGTGAACTCGTCTTTAATGGACCATCCGAGTGAGATTCACCTTGATTAAGTAATTTCAAAGCTTCTAATAAACGTCCGTTAATACGTATACCTGATGTATTCCTCCAACAATGTGGTTCCAGCAACATCTGTGGAAAACGATGAGCAGCAGAGGCAACATATACTACACGTCCTTGACTTTTTTGAATAAGAGGAATAAGTAATTCTGTTAAAAGCATGGGACCAAGAAAATTTACCGCCGTATGCAATTCTAACTGTGGATTGAAACGACTGAATTCCAGTTGTTTCCGCATCATTCCAGCATTATTCACAAGCACATCCAAACGATTATAGACCCTTTGAAATTGATCCACAAAACGTCGCACACTCTCAAAATCATCACATTCAAGAGAGAAACGACCGTCCACTAGTACTGTTTCTGGAGTCTCTGTATACTTTGGATTACCTCTATACTTATCTCGTGTTTGTTGTGCCTCTTTCTTTATCTTTGCAGCTGTAGTCTCACTAAGTGAAGGGTTACGACATGTACACACCACGCGGTAGCCCTCCACTGCCAGTCCCACTGCTGTGTAGTATCCAATCCCGCTGTTTGTTCCTGTCACAACAACAACGGGCCGCTCCTCGTCTCTCATATTGCGTGAGAATAACACCGTGGAAGAGTTCTCATTCGGTGAATCTCCGCTAGTCCCAACCGTACTTGTATGAGTATTACCATTACTATTATTATTGTTAGTAGTAGTAGTAGTAGTAGAAGTAACTTTGATATTTGATTTGTCTCCTTTGTGTGGGGGGTGTGCGCGATTCCGTGAGCCACGGGCGACCAGGCGCTGCAGCACAAGCCAAAGTGGAACGGTCAGTGGAAGAAGTGACGGCGGCAGTAAAAGAAAAGAGACGCCAGCAACGCAGGCACTGCCAACAGCACCCAACTCACTCTTATATCCAAGCCGCATAACGTAAATACCACAACTACCACCGTATACTATCAATAATCTTACTCCCTTCTCAAGAACCCATATATATATATATATATATATATATATATATAA